GGAGTGGCCACCCTGTTCACCAGATATGAATTGTATCGAACATGTTTGGGCCGAAATGTCTAGGCGATTAAACCGGATTCCACAACTTCCCCAAACCCTGGAACAGTTGGCTAATGAGTTGCAGGCAATTTGGCAAATCATACCTCAGCAATTTATCAATAATTTGATAATGAGCCTTCCGAATAGAGTGATAGTACTAAGGCGGGCCAGAGGAATTCCAACACGATATTAATTTTTATAGGGATTTTGTGAATTTTGCGATACAAGATTTTTTTTTGTGTTGTTACTTTTCCCAATTTAATCAGTTTTCTTGTAAATGTTAAATTTTGCACTAAATATTTTTTTTTTTCCTGGGTGATATAATCAATCAATAAAATGTTTTTATTATACATGATTTTTTACTTTACTTTGAAGTATTGACAAAATAAATACAAAATTTTAGAATATCCACTTCAACTGTTGAGCAGTGTAGTATATTGTTTTATTAGGAGTAAAAGTGATACTTTTGTGACGATCTGTAAGTTTGCCTGCCAAACGCGGTGATGCCGGCAATACAGACAAGTCACAAAAGTAGCTTTTACTCCGAATAGAACAGGTTATTTTTTCTTCGAACGTATCTGAACAATAGAAAAAAAATCGAAATTTTCTGAAATATTAATGATGTTACCGAACAATCCACCAACTAGGTGACAAATTGTCAATCTTTGCGTTGTTCTGGCAAATATTCACGAGCGGAGGTAAAAGACTTTTACTCCCGCTCACAAGCGGAGGTAAAAGTCTTTTACTTCCGTTGTCCATAGTGACCGTCAACTGACATAAAAGTTAAACTTTAACATAATAAAATAAGTACATAAATATCAGGTTTTCTGACGTTTGAAGAAAAATGAATTTTTTTGACATAGTAAACATTTTTATTTACCATTGGCGTGCGCTGTTGGGGGGTAAAAAGGGGTTGTATTTTTGGGAAAAAGATATCAGGGCTTATTTTAGATATTTTTTTGCATCAGATTAAAATTCAGCATCCCCAAAAACCCCTTAATTCATATGTATTTTCAAATTCTCAAGAGCTGATTTTACCAAAAAAAAAAATATATATCAATTCACTTTTTGGAATAAGTTGTTTATTTTTATTTGCGAAGCTTAAATTACAGATGACATTATTTTAGAATATTGTATTTTCAACATAGCTACCTTCTAATTAGAAATAAACAGCTCATTAGAAAAATTAAATTAAAATAAATTTATTTATTTTTTCGCTCTTATCATCTCTTGAGATTTTGGGAATATGAATTAAGGGGTTTTTAGGGATGCTTATTTTGTAATCTGATGCAAAACATTAGAGAGTTTTCGTTGCTTTTTAAAAGCGATTCCGATAGCCGCTATTTGACAAATTTGACATTTAAGCTATCATTTATCGTTATCGTTACCGATAAGTGCCGGGAGCTTACGGACGGAAGACGGAAGACAAAACCATAGCGAAAACGAAAAGCATGCGTATTTCCTATGTTTTTGTTGTGGTTTGTTTTTGTTTTTAAATGTTTTTGGTTTTCGAAATAGATTCAATACTAAATTCCCTCAAAAGATTGAAAAATCGTTTCACGGATGAGGACAATATTATTTATTATTTTATGTGCAATCGAGTGTTCCATCCTGAAAATCTCGCACTATTTTTTATAATTCTGGCCACATAATTTTTTAAGTACAAGCCCTGATGAAGCCCTAAACTTTTGGGCGAAACGTTGGCAAAGACTTGACAGGCCTTTTATTTCTTGTCCTAACCGACGAATTACCCCCCTTCATTGGATATAGGACATGAACTTCTCTTTATCATTTACTATTTTATTAGAAGAAATATTGGCCAACAACCCATATGACGATGCATCTATATAGGCTTTTGTAGTAGCCAATTTTGTAAATCCCACAGGGAAAATTAATGAATTTTGGGTACTAGGAAATTAAAACAAAGTACAAAACGTATATAAACACAATGATAAACACAAACCATTAAAGAAAGGTTATGTTTGTCGAATTCGACTTAAAGTTAACGTTAAGCGGATTGAACGAAAACTATTTTTCCTACGAGCGTGCGCAAAGTAGTACTTTTCCGCACGCATTTCGGTTCTCAAAGTTGCACTTTTCCGCACTCAGTGCGGATACAGGCCTTATCCGCACTGAGTGCCGAAAAGTAAAAATAATTGTCAAGCAACAATAAGTACACCTGTCGACTTTGACACATGATGACAAATTTTTCCTCTGTTCCTGTTCCAGCTAACATCTATACCTACAAACACCAAATTTAATTAACTTCAACACATTGTCAGATTTGTTTTCTATATATATGCATCTACAAACTTTCTCATCAAATTTATAGCATTTTCCATTTGTCGAAACAGGGCAAAAAAATGTATCCTTATCCTTACATGTTACATGCTTTTAGAAAAAGATGCGGATGCACTCAGTGCGGCACTGATGACAAATGGAAATCGCCATTAAACGCTTTAAGATGAAGAGCTCTGACGATGATTTTCTGTTATATTTTTTTTTTGTTATGTAATTTTTTGATAAATGCATAGGTTCCCTTCAAGTTAATTAAAAATAATTAAACAAATTATCGTTTTTTTTTTAAATTTTTGTTGTTACCTACCTGATATGAAGCTCGTAGGAAAAATTTTGTTCCTAACACGTGCGCAAAGTGTCTTTTCCGCACGCAAACACGTATCCGAACTCCGCTTCGCGTCGTTCGTATAACTGTGTTTGCGTGCGGAAAAGTAACACTTTGCGCACTTGTTAGGAAAATAACTATTTACGATCTGTCAAATAGCGACTTTGTTTTCGTATTCGTTATGGTTAACCGTTCGAATTTGGCAATACAACGAAAACTCTCTACTATCTAAAATAAGCTCTAATATCTTTTTCATAAAATTACAACCACTGTCCACCCCCCAAGATCGCACGCCAATGGTAAATGAAAATGTTTACTATGTCAAATAGTTCATTTTTCTAACATACAAACACCAACAAAATTTGAATGAAATCGCATAAATAATAACTGAGATATCGGAGTGTATTCATGAAAAGCGGGACACACTGTATATGATAATTTTGAAAATCAATCCCTCAATAACTGATACAGACACTGGTGAAACACAATAATTATAAAATCGTTTGCACAACGATTATTACGACTACAAAAGTCAGAAGCAGGAATTTCCCGCCAATTTCTTTGAATAGCTCTGATTGGTCAGCCTCGAAATCCGCATTTGAACGAGGCTCCGACTTCGCAAAGTTAAGTGATTTCGCGGGATTGCTGGCGATTTCGCAGGATTTCGCAGGATTTCGCAGGATTTCGCAAGGATTGCGCGCGATTTCGCAAGGATTGCGCCCGATTTCGCCTGATTTCGCATGATTGCGCAGGGATTTCGCGCGATTTGTGACAGTAATGCGCAGAGTGGTTTACCCCTCGGATGATATATTAATTCCTACCTGCAGTTTTGATGAAAACACAGAAATCCTAAAGCAAGTTTTTGAATTGTTGAAAGAAAATAAATTGGAGACTAGAGAAATGTTTCTTTTTACAAAATGAAATAACCTACTTTGGTTATAAAATAGATGTAAAGGGCATAAGGCCTAGTGATGAACATATAACTACTATCAGAAAGTATCCAATTCCTAAAAATCAACAAAAATAGGGAACTTTACAATTTTTTTTTTTTTTTTTTCAAAATAGTTATTTTTGTCACAAGTACCTAAAATGAAGTTTTTCAGGACGAATCATTGCTGTTTCCGGACGAGGCGTTAGCCGAGTCCGGACTAGCAAATGAGTCCTGAAAAACTTCGTTAGGTACGTGTGACAAACACTATTTTTTGTCATAGGCTTTTTAGAATTCTTCAGAACGCTAAAATTTGCAAAATTTCCTTAATTTTTGAAATCATAAAGGTGCATCCAGAAAGAAAAAAAAATCCTGAAAAGAAGCATTTTACGGACTTGAATGAGTCCGTAAGATAGCTGTTTTTGGGAGCATATGACAAAAAAATCATTTATTTATGCCTTAAGAGTATTCCCCAAATATTATTCCCTAAAACTCAATAATAACTTAGTGAAAAATGTTTAAAGTTTCGCGCGTATCAAAAGCATTTCGAACAACCTTCTAAGCGCGCGAATCCGGATGACGTCACGTAGTATGATTTTGCGTCACCTTGTTGCCAAACGTCATACTTCATTGCATTTAATTTGATTGATTTCCAAATTTCCCCTAAAATTTCCACATTTTTTTTCAATTTTCCACCGTTATTTGTTTTGTTGTTGTTTTGTGTTGCGGCGGCGAGTTGTAAATTGTGAAGTTATAATGGAAGAAAAGACTAGCACATACTCACTTTTGCTACCATAAACATATCAACAAATTACAGATTGTCGGATTGGCCTTTGGAATTTCCTTCTTCGGTCATAATTATTAGGCATATCGTTTCATTTATATAATGCTGAGCTAATCATTAAATTTGAGCTAAGTAAACCAATTCTAATAAATGATAAAATTTTAAAAAATCAGAGAAAAACGTGGATAAACACAGCTAACGGGTATTTATTATGTAGAGTTCGAGTAAACGGTCGGAGCTGCTGTTTTGTTTCTTTATCCCTGTTCTTCTCATCATCGCCTTTTTTCCCGCTGGAAATTAATTGAAATTCTCCGCATTTCTAATTCCTTATTGCGGCCGTTTGCGACAAAAAAATTTGTTTTTTTCGCTGTTTTATGTTTTAACGTAATATATTCTTATGATTTATAGTAATATTTTCATGTTTAAATTTTTTGTCAAGCTCCCTATTATGTGAGTTGTTGTGTCCATGAAACTCTAAACATGCCATTTTTGGCTATGGAAGATTTTTTGAGATGCTTGATGTCTTTCTACATAAGAGACACATTGCACTTGAAATAAAATCAAAATGAATCCTAATTAAAAAATTGCCTATGTAATTATTGCATACACAAAAGGAATTTACTTACAGCTATATGCATCATTTTGACTCTTCCCATTTTTTCCCCTTCTTGTAGCTTCAATAACTTTTTCATTTTCTCACTCTCTTCAGCCTTCAAATGTTCAAGATTTTCTTCCATTTGCTGGACCAAGAGATATTGGTCCTTTATTGTTTTTTTAATTTCCGCTTCTTTTGCTATTACATATTTTTTATAAGCAATTTCCTGTCGCAATTGGCGTGTTTCCATATCTGCTTCTAAGGCCTTAGCCTAGGAAAAAAGTTTTGTACAAATTTAAAATAAGTAAACTAGAATATGATCGGATATTACCCTATCTTTTTCTAACTCTTGGTAAAGAGGGTGTTCAGTCATTTTCTTTTCAGCTTCCATATAATTTTTGTCCAATTGTTCTTTCTGTTTTAAGGCTTGCAGTTTCACTGACTTTTCTTCTTCTGCTGTATATGCGTGCAAAGCATGGAAAGCTGACAATGCCATCTGTTCAATTTCACGTGTTTTTTCAGCACTGAAAAAATTAAAAATAGTTTAAAGCAGGCCCACAGATTAATTAGTCTCTTGAACTAAACTAATAACTTGTATCACCTACCTATAGAATAAGTTATTTCCAAATAATCAAAAGATGAAATTGTTACCTACCTTTTATGAAAAAATTGCAACTGTTCATACTGTTTGTCTAATTCTTTATTTTCTTCCTTAATTTCCTTTCTTCTTTTTTCGGATGCAGCAAAATTGCGCTCCAACTCTGCAATTTCATTTTTGTACCCTGCAAAATATTATATACTCATAATATGAATTTATTTCTGGAATAGGTGCTACCTGCAACAACTCTCTAGGGCAAGACGGATAGACCAAATAAGAAATACATTGTCATTCGCGCATTTATCTATACTCCATGGCATAGATGCTACTGATCTAATATCTAATTCGCTTGAAAATTCCTTAATTTTTTTCAAATCCTTCTAAGCTCCCAATTTTCTGTAATTTCGTAAACCATAATAATACCTACCAATGAAGCTGGTGCCAGGATGTGATTAGATATAATATCAAAAATAGGTATATCCTGGAGATTTCCCAATAGTTGACATCACGAATTAAAAAGAGAAGTGTTAATTTAGTGTAAAAGCGTTTTCGCAACACTCAAAAAATTTAAAATTATTTTTGTAATCTCCGGTCTTCATTAATTCAATTAACCGTCGTCTCCTCGGAAAATCACGAAATCAATAAATTAATAATTCACAAAGTTTAATGTGCATTAAATGGTTCACAATCGAAATTGAATGACTTACAAGATGAAAAACCGGATTGAATAAAATCAGGGCCGCAACTAGAAGCCTCGGCGCCCAAGGCCAATCCAAATTTTGGCGCCTACTAATTCTACCACTGTATAAAGATACAGAATGATCAATATTTTATCATCTCTAGTTTTTAACGTAGGAAATCTTTCACGAGAGCCGGTAATAGAAAACAATTTTACCCACTCTAATTTGACTCAACAGAAAAAAGCAACTGTATAAAAATACAGAGTGATTAATATTTTATTATTCCCGGCTCTTGTAGGAAGTCATTCACGAAAGCTGTTAATCGAAAACAATTCCACCACTGTGTAATGATACGGGGTGATCAATATTCTATTATCCCCAGCTCTTAAAGAGGATGTGACCCAAAAATAAAAGTTGTTAAAAAAAAATCTAAGAACAAATTTTCAAACCGCAGTAAGCTACGACCAACCGTTGCGAAGATACCGTAGTACAAAGTTTCCACTTCTAGCACTGTGACGTCACATGCACAAACTGAGTCTGCCATCCGGCGCTGCGCGCGCGTTTGCTCATGCTTGCTACATATATTATCGACATTATCTTATTGTTTTCACGTCCTCACCCCTATCGTTGCATTAGGTTTAGCAATTTTTGCGTGTATTCATGACGTCACGCGATGAATGGACAAACCTTTATTTAGGCGTATCTACCTTATCATTTTGAGTAGTGATGCGAGATTTTCACGAGAGTTAGAGTTCTTAGAATTTTTTTTTTTATTATCTGACTACAAGTTGTATTTTAAGGCTACACCCCCTTCAATGTAGAAAATCTTTCACGAGAGCCGGTAATAGAATAGTATATTCTTCAACGAGCATATAATGATGGCTATTATTCACGAGAATGAAAATTCAAACACGAACCGAAGACGAGTGTTGGAATCATTCGAGTCATGTTTTGTTCGTATTGTCTCGTTGCCGCTCGTGTATTCCGAAAATACGGAGAATTTGATTGGTCGACAGGCCGTGGATTCCGGTTTGGAATCCACGGGGCGTGTAGAATTCGTATCATTAATCAGTTTAATATCGAGCAAGAATGAATGTATTATTTGATGTTCGAAGAGAAAACAATTTCACCCACTGTATAAAGATACAAGGTGATCAATATTTTATTATTTTCGGCTCTTGTAGGGAATTTTCCACGAAAGCTGGTAATCGGAAATACTTCCATCACTGTGTAAAGATACGGGGTGATCAATATTTTATTATCCCCGACTCTTTATGTAGAAAATCTTTCACGAGAGCCAGTAATAGAAAACAATTTCACCCACTGTAATTTGATCATTCTAGGTTGTGCATTAATTTTATTTGACGGCGAGAAGGCGCCTTGGTACTTTGGCGCCCTAGTTGCGGCCCTGAATAAAATATCACAAACAATTTTCGAGATACATACATTTAATTAAGGCCCCAAAGTTGTAACTTTTTGTCACATTTCGAACAAGCTATAAACTCGATTAAGTATATCGAAAACAAAGTGTCCAGGCTCAGTACACTACAAATTTTTATGGATCCATAAGTTCTGTTTTGATTGCTTTTCCGGTTTTAGAAATTTTGAAAATCGATTTTTTAGGCATACCAACTGCTTTATAACAAATAATTGAGAATTACCTACTACCTTTGGGTGTTCATTTTACCCCTATTATCTCGGAGTTGAAAGTTTTCGAAAAAATCCCTGAAACACGTCAACTATAATTTGAAGGGGGATGAGTTTTAATGCAAAATTCACCTCCCGCCTTTCAACCCCCCAGCCCCCAGAGCCACCCCCTAAAAAATCTTAAATGGGAAGGGAGGTCAAATCATCCATCATTTTGGAGGGCTTTTATTTCCATACAGTCTGGTACTAAGTTTTAAACCCTAAGTCGAGCCCTAAGTTCAACTGTTTTGTAAATATTAACAGTTGAAAATTGACTGTTTTGCAACTTTGACAGGCTGTAAAACCTAAACGGTTAATTTTAGAGGAAAACCGATCTTACATTCTTGTCTTATGGCGTTTCCGATTGGTAGAACTAGTGCGGAACTAGTGCAATTTTTTTTGTTTCCATCTTTTTCTTCTATAGGTCGATTAAAAGGATGCTAATACACTCAGTGCGCATTGAATCTATCAATCCGAAACGCCATTAGATTTTTATAAACTATCATTTGACAGCAACTTTGAATTTAATCCATGATCAAAAATTCTGTTTAAAAATTTAATCTCCAGATAAATTCAAAGTTGGTGTCAAATGATAGTTTATGAAAATCTAAGATACGAATGTGGGATCAGTTTTCCTCGAAAACATCCTGTCAAAGTAGCAAAAAAGTCAATTGTCAACTGTCAATATTTCCAAAACAATTGAACTTAGGAATTAAAATTTAGTACCAAAATGTATAGAATTAAAAACCCTCCATAATGATCTATCACTTGAACCCCCTTCCCATTTAAGATTTTCTAGGAGGTGACTCTGGAGGCTGGGGGGTTAAAAAGGGGGAGGTGAATTTTGCAGGAAAACTCCTCCCCCTTCAAATTATAGTTGGCGTGTTTCAGGAATTTTTTCGAAAATTTTTCAACTCCGAAATAATAGGGGTGGTAAGTGGTAAGTTTTAAAATGAACACAATGTATAAACAAACAGCGGATCTTGGGGTAAACCACCCCTGAGATTTTTGACACATATTTCCCCTTGGGGGAATTATTTCCCGAATATTGCCTTTATTTCCTATATTATTCAGTAGGTAATTCCCGATATTGCCTTATAATTCCCCATAATGCCTTATAATTCCCTAATATTTAAATAATTCCTCCGTAATTTTTGTAAATCCTCAATATTTCCCTGTATTTCATTTATAATTGTTGCGAAAATGCATCGACAACCCGGCGAGGATTCTGAGAAAATTATTTGTTTACTTTGGGCAGCGCGTCTTTCCTGGGAATTCCATTAAACGTATACGATTCAATGTTTTTCTAGACAGATACGGAATGCGATTTTAACTATAAATAGCGCGTAGTAATAAGTTTGAGTTTAGTTTTAATCCGATATTTATATGGTTCGATAAGAATATCTCTTAGACAAAAAATACTATGAGGAAGATCTCAAATACGTATCGGGGGATTAGAGGGGGAACCAAAATGAGGCACTTTTTTTTTCTATGAGATAGTTAAAATTACTAGTTTTCACAATGCACTTACTTTTAAACACCGATATCTCAAAAACTAATCGTACGATTTGAGATTTTTCTATAGGACTGTTAAGGGACGGCAACGAGCTATCCAACGATGTGCAACAAAAGGCAGGTTCGTTTAAAAAAAAAATAAGGGGTGAGGCGGGGTCACTCAAAAAGTGTCTCATTTTGGTTCCTCCTCCAATCCCCTGATACGTAAAGGGTGATCCAATTAGTGCTTTAGCATTTTAAAATGAAATAAAACACAGACATTGCTGCGTTGCCAAAATGTTTTTATTTCATTTCAAAGACCAACTAATTACATTTGTGTTTTAAAAATAATATCGGTGAAATGACCTCCACGACTTTCTTCACAATAGTGAATTCGTTCAGTCCAATTTATCATTAGGTTTTCACACATTTGGGTCGGTATTTCAGGAATAGCCGTTCTTCAGGGTTGGCATAGAATTTCCCCAGATTATAAAACCCCCAGTGGGGTTTATCGGGTTTTTTCAATTGATAAAACCCACCATTATTGGGTTTTTTGGGTTTTTTCAAAAATATAAAATTTTCAGTTGAATGAGCGTCATTTTCACAGGAAATATCAAAGATTTCACGATGATTTTCCAGTCCTCGGCTGTTCGCTGTTGGCGTGTAGGTCTGGGCAGGGAGTGCAGGGACTCCGTGCCATGTAGAATTTAGAATTCGACATATCGAATGTGCCAAGTCTATAGAATCCTGTCGATATGAAGAATTCTACATGACACGGAGTCTATGGGGTGGCTAGCCAGAGGCGTGGTGCAGTGTACTGATGCCAAGTGTAATTATTTATATCAAGTGGCTTGCATTATATGATAAGGATATTTTATTTTTGCAACAAAAGTCATAATTTTTGTAATACTTTTGCTAGAGCAAAAGCCGAGACAGAAACTATAAATCAAATTTGAAGAAAAAAACGAAAACCCCCAGGAAGCCCGAAAAAAATCAAAAAACCCAAAAAAAAAAAACAAAAAACCCATAAAAACCCAAAAAAACCCGACGGGTTGGACTTTTTCAAAAAAACCCGGGTTTTTTCCAACCCTGCCGCTCTTGCGATAATGTCATCGTTTTGTTGGCGGTATGGCACGTAGCGCCATCCTGATGGAACCAAAATCCCTCCAGTTGGTTTTCGATGATTATTGGGAAGAAATAATCGTTGCTGAAAACGACGTCTAGAGACAAATTTGGATTATCTCGAGCACTTGGATTTACAGCTCCAACATTTTCTGCATCTCTCACATTTCTCACACGATTTGTTCTTGGGTTATCTAGCAAC